GAAATTATTCCATCACTAATTTTGTTAATGATTAGCTGTTTTTTTTGTAGTGCGTGTATATACACGCACATAGTTGCTTGGATGAATACGCATGTGTCTTGCAAAAATATAGCAATAAGTAAAGATTATTCCTTGGGGTTTGTTATCAAAATGTGGTCAATCAAGTGCTATTTGCGGATGAAATAGGTAATTGATGTCTGAAATGAACAATGATTGCAGCCTTATTTAAACAAGATAAGACGTAGTATTTACATCGTGTTGTGTACAAAGTTAATTTATGTTTGTTTCTGTGTTGATCATGTGTCAATATATTCCATGATCTCATATCTCCCCCCATATATTCTCAAATTATATATACAACATTTTGTCTCTTAGAGGACATGCGATCGATAAATTTTGCAAATCAGTCAAATGATCTTCCCCATTTTTATTTCCATGAGTTCACGCACTGTCGCTGGATAAATGGGTTATTTTTGGCCGTAGATGAAATGAAGGGTCATGATCAGGGAAGAGGATGAAAATGGGATGCGAAGGAATAGGTGAGGAGAGGCTCCGCGCCAATTTATAGCAATCTTTTGTTTTTTTTTTTTGGTCCCAGATCTGAATGGATAGCATGGGGCGGCGCAGGCGAGCTGTGATTTTAATCACACCTTCAACTTTTAAATCTTCACTTCCCACCTACCAGTACTTAATGCACTGAGCTCCTGATTTTCTTTCTGCAACAAACAATCAAACATGTTGCCTTCTTCCCCTTTACCCTTCCCTTCCCTTCTTCAACTTCTTCCACTTCTCTTTCTTCTCTCAGCTCTCTTCCTATCCCTGTGCCTTACACCAGCAAAAGGTGACCGGAAGCAACCGCCAGGTCCACCGTCCTGGCCGGTTATTGGGAACCTCCACCAGTTGGGTGCTCTCCCGCATCGATCCCTTCAGTCTCTCGCGAAGCGCTATGGACCCATCATGTCCTTGCGACTCGGACAAGTCCCTGCTGTTGTCTCTTCTCCTGAAGCTGCCGAGCTTTTCCTCAAGACGCGCGACGTCGTTTTTGCAAGCGGCCCAAAGAATCAAGCGTCCGAGTTCCTTTCTTATGGCTCCAAGGGAATGACTTTCTCTGATTATGGCCCTTATTGGCGCAACATGAGGAAGCTATGTACTTTGCAGCTTTTTAGCGCATCGAAATTGGAGATGTTTGCTCCCTTAAGAAGGGAGGAGTTGGGACAGGCGGTGAAGTTTATTGGGAAATCCGCGGCGGCGCGTGAGGCGGTGGATCTGACAGAGAAGGTGGGGCGGCTTGTAGAAGATATAATGTATAAAATGATATTTGGAAGCACCAGGGACGATAAGTTTGATCTGAAGGGTCTTATTCATGAAGCGCTGAACTTGGTTGGAGCCTTCAATATTGCAGATTTCGTGCCTTTCTTGGCGCCACTTGATATCCAGGTACCGTTATCAACTCAACTATGTGTGTCTGCTGGTTTATTCAATGTTTCAGTCAGCACATCTGTCCATGGTGTAGCTATATCCTCTCAAATTTTGGTCTAACAGTGGTAAGAATTGAACAGAGAGTGAGATCGGTATATGGGAATTTAAAATGATTTATGTTTTTGTTAAGAATCGAGATGACAGTTTAATCCAAGGATGGAGTTTAGTGGCGTACTATATCGTAAAAGTCCTTAGTTTTTGGTATGGGCGGGCGCGGGCCAAAGCCTTTTCAGCTGCAAAATTTAATAAGCCATACCTTACCGTCACCAAAATCAAATTGAAACCATGCCATGTGGTTAGTTTAATGGTAGGCCAGGGGCAATTTGTTTTCCCGTTATTATGCTATTACAAGGGGTATAAGGGGTGTTTGGTTGAAAAACAAATCATAAAAGTGATTTTAATTACTAAGTAAAGCATTTGAGATCCAAAACTATAGTCAGAAAATGTAGAAGTGTGTTAGCCAAAAGACACTGATGAATATTAATATAGACCTTAGGGCCAGAAATCTCTTTGCACATCCAGAAAAAACAGGAATCACACGTCCCTGTATACAATTAAATCCCTGTCGGCATTAGATTATAGAAAGTTAGAGGCTCAAGCTTCTAAAAAACAAAAGAAAATTTGATAACCAGTTTTAGTGTTCATTGCGGTGAAATTTACACAATTTAGATATAGTTTTTGTGGTCTAAATTTAAAATTTTCAATTGATAATTTTTAAATAAAAAATCATTTTTTTTAAAATTATAGTTAAAGATTACATTGATTTTGGATTATCTACCTATTAAAGCAAAATATTTTTAAAAAACAAAAATACAAAAAATTAAATCTTGACTGTTCATATTATATTTGAATGTTTGATATTGATAAGTATTATGATATTCATAACTGTAACGAGTACCAAAACTAGTTCAAAAAATTTGGGTGAAACACAAACAATGTAATTTAACCAATAATAATAATAATTAATTTTTGGAAGCTAAAGCACCCCTCTTGATTTAGGGCTTTACAAGACGCTTGGTGAACACGAGCAAGAAAGTTGATGAGATATTGGAGACCATTGTTAGAGAGCATGAAGAGGCAGCACCAGAAGAACAGAATAGACAACACAAGGACTTTGTGGACATACTACTCTCTTGCATGGATACTAATTACGATGATCACCACAACTTTGTCATAGATCGAACCAACATCAAAGCCATGCTTCTGGATACGATTGCCGGTGCAGTGGAGACTTCAGCTACTGTCATTCTGTGGGCTTTCTCGGAAATCTTAAGGAATCCAAGGGTGATGAAAAAACTCCAACTCGAACTACAAAACCAAGTAGGAATAAGTAAAATGGTCGAGGAAGCTGATTTACCAAGGTTGAGTTACTTGGATATGGTGATTAAAGAGACTATGCGACTATACCCAGTTGCACCCTTACTAGCTAGTCCCTCGTGTGTGTAGGGAAGACATCAAGATCAATGGGTATGACATAAGGAAGAACACAAGAATCATAGTGTATTCATGGACCATAGGAAGAGATCCTAAAATATGGTCTGATAATGTGGAAGAATTTTGGCCAGAGAGGTTCTTGGACGGCAATATGGACTATCGAGGATATGAGTTCCAATTCTTACCATTTGGTTCAGGTCGAAGAGACTGCCCTGGTCTGCAATTGGGTTTAATTACTGTTAAGCTTATTTTAGCACAGTTAGTTCACTGCTTTAATTGGGAACTTGCAAATGACAGCTCTCCTAACGAGTTGGATATGACTGAGAAATTTGGACTATCAATGCCAAGAGCCAATCCCTTGCAAGCTCTTCCATCCTATCGCTTACTAATTAACTGATGAATCCTAATATGAGGCCTTTTCAGTTCAATAATGGGTACACCCTAATCCTAATCACTGCAAGACATGTTATTGTAAAAGTGCAAGTTTTCTTGGTTAGTCATACGTCTATGTAGTCTTTGTGCAAGTTTTTTTGGTTAGTCATACGTCTATGTAGTCTTTGTTGTTATTAAGACCGTAATTCTTTAGTCCTATTTATAAGGTAGAGAGAGAATGTTTTTTTTTTGTTTTATTTATAAATTTTTTCATTAAATTTTTAGTATGACTGTACTATATTATTCTTTATTTATAATGTAGATAGCTATTTTTTTAAAAAAAGTGTATATAGTAAATAGGATTAAAGTTGAAAAGTTGTAATATTTTAATTGAGAATTTTTTAGTTTGTGTGAAATATACTATAAGTGCGTTATAAATAGAACACGATAAGTATAAATTAAAGTTATGTAGCAAAATCATTTAATAATGTCACGTCTCCTTCCAAACAGAGCCTTTACGAAAGTTCTAACCCAATCTCCCAACCCTGGACGTTTTTTTGGTGGCGGGGAAATTTTTTTCGAATTTGTTAGTCATTAAACCAGTTGAGTCAGGTATATTAAACAAAAGGTTGGAAAGAGTAGCAATAGACAATTTTGATATCTCCCATTCATTTTTACAGGAGAATTTGGGTCAATCATTCCACCAAATGGGTCAGGGAGAGGCTTAATTAATTAATTCCATTGCATCCAAACTAATTTGTTAAATTCCATCTTTTAATTTTCTCACCAACACGTGGTTATGTTAATATGGAATATAATAGCAATGAGATCTTAAGGCATAATAGACTAATTTAATTACAATTTGGTTTCAAAATATTTTTAAAATTTCCATAATCCTGAAGACAGTTCAATTTTCATGAGACAACAGCATTTAAGAATTACCACTTATTTAACTTATTCTAGGCATACTTCTTCGTCAACTGAGCTTAGGATCAAGTAAAGAAAGAAAGAAGCCTTCTCTCCGTCGCCCTGCTTTGATATTTCTCTCAATCGCCAGAAGAGAGGAACTTTAATGGAACCAGAGGAATCCCATCATCACAATGACAGCACCAGCGATCTCGATTTGTTTTTGTCTTTATTTTTTGAAATCAGTTTTTGTGCTTAAATTTATCAGATCTGGATTATCCAGATCGGATCTACATGGTCTAGATTTAAAATTTTAATTAGTTATTTGTAAATAAAAATTATTTTAAAAAATGATAGTTAAGAGATTATTTTACTTTATATTCTATACATATTAAAATAATTATTTTAAACAAATAAAAATAAAAAAAATTAAATTTGAATCGTTGAAATTAGATACGAACTGCTCAGATTTCACCTAAACTGCTTCTATTTTTCTAAGGTGTATGTTAGATTTATCTGCTTTCTTGAATGGTTTAGTGAGCATAATAAAATTGACTCTGCTTTGCTTCAAAAAACATCTGTCCTTCATGGAGGGCGTGGTGTTATTTTTCATTCTTATTCATTACATGGTCAAAATTGGCGTTTATATTTTAATCCGGCCGGCTTGAGCTTTATTTTGTATTTTTGGGTAGAACACGACTTCGCTTAATTCTTCATCCACCAACTCACTGGGGGAGAACACCTTGTAAATTCTAATTCTATGTAATTCATTTCCTCTCTCTCGCATCAGACAAACAATAAAAAAAAAACATGTTGCCTTCCCATCTTCTTCTGCCACTTCTCTTCCTTGTACCAGCTCTGTTCCTATCCCTGTGCCTTAGACGACCTAAGCATGACCAGAAACAACCGCCAGGTCCACCGGCCTGGCCGGTGATCGGCAACCTCCACCAGTTGGGTACTCTCCCGCACCGATCCCTTCAGTCTCTCGCGAAGCGCTATGGACCCATCATGTCCTTGCGACTCGGACAGGTCCCTGCTGTTGTCGTCTCTTCCCCTGAAGCTGCCGAGCTTTTCCTGAAGACGCACGACGTCGTCTTTGCGAGCCGGCCAAAGACTCAAGCGTCGGAGTTCCTTTCTTATGGCTCCAAGGGGATGGCTTTCTCTGAATATGGTCCTTACTGGCGTAACATGAGGAAGCTCTGTACTTTGCAGCTTTTTAGTGCATCGAAAGTAGAGTCGTTTGCCCCCTTGAGAAGGAAGGAGTTGGGACAGCTGGTGAAGTCGATCGAGAAATGGGCGGCGGCGCGTGAGGTGGTGGATCTGACGGAGAAGGTGGAGCGACTTGTAGAAGATATAATGTATAAGATGATATTTGGAAGCAACAGGGATGATAGGTATGATCTGAAGGGGCTTGTTCATGAGACGCTGAATTTGGTCGGAGCCTTCAATATTGCAGATTTCGTGCCTTTCTTGGCGCCACTTGATATCCAGGTACCATTATCAACTCAACTATGTGTGTGTGTATTTATTTATTTATTGTTCTTTTTTCCTGCTGGTTTATTCAATGTTTCAATCAGCAACGCTGCCCGTTCCTGTTGAATTTTGACCCAAGAGTGGAAAAAGTTGAACAACTATAGCTACTGGAATTTAAAATAATTTATGTTTTGCTCATGAATGCCTACCTTTATAGAAAAATTTCATTTTTTTTTCTTCTTTGATTTTATAAATTGTTAAGTTTATTCTTTTAATTTTATAAAATGTTTAGTTCTCTGATTCTAATAATATCTAATATTAATATTAAAATTTTAAATATTAACAAAAGATTTATAAACATTGAGATGTTAAGTTTATTTTTTCACAGTGGTATTTATTTTAAAAAAATTATTATTTAAGACTAAATGCATTAGAGTTAGAAAAATCAAAAATTATTTTATAAAATTAAAATATCAAACAAAGTTCTTATACAAGAATAAATTACCAAATGCTCATCTTAACCTCATGTTTTCTCAAGAATTGAGATGAGTCATATTTCAATTTCTTCCAAGGATATAATATATATAGGGGGGCTTGTTTCTCAAACTATCTATATTGTTTAATTATGCATGTTAAGAATAATATAATTGAAGGATAGTTCTAATATAGACACGGTAACTTAGAAAGACCAATACATTTTTTTTTATAACCAATAACATATTTTTAACAATTAACTAACTACCTAATTTTTAAAATAAATATCTGCAAATTAATTATCATACTTTTGTATTAGGGATATGAGAGTACTAATCTATTCATGCGTTACACATATATATAATGCCAAAAATACTAGTATTTCCAGTGGCATTCATTAGTACTCCTCCGGCCCAAAATATAAGATCTTCATATAGTGTATATAAGGGTCTTATATTTAAGATTGGAGAAGTAATTGTTTTTTTATTTGGTGATAAGGTTTAATTAGTCAAAATAGAGTATATAGAGTGGGGCTTGTTTCTCAAACTATCTGTATTGTTTAAAAGATAGTTCTAATAAAAACAGGATAATTTAGAGAAACCAATACATATTTTTTTTTATAACAACTAACACATTTTTAACAATTAACTAGCATTTCCAGTGGCCGTCATTTGTAATTGTTTTTTATTTGGTGATAAGGTTTAATTAGTCAACATGAGGGTGCAAATGCGCAATGCGTGGTGTGAGTCTTCATTTGAAAAACGCCGGTGCCCCATTTCTTTCTCTCTCGTTCGTCATAGCCATAATAATGAAATTGGATCTATCTCGATGCACATTTTTGACGTGTCATCAATAAAAAATGTGAAAGAAAAGAAAAGATGTGCCTCAGCATGTGATTTGTTAATTTTGTTTGAAAAAAATAACAGAGAGAACCAGAGAGGGAAGGATATGGTGCCCTTCTAAAGCTAGGTGGACGCCAATGCAAAATCAAAACGCTGTCGTTTTAGCGACGCGCACGTGCTTTCTTTCTTTATGGTTCTTTCTATAGAAGGCTTCACTTTATTAGTAAACATTCGACAAACCAGCTAGATTATAGCTACAAAGTCAGAGAGCTCCAGTTTTAAGAAAGCAAAAAAAAAAAAAAAAGGTGGAACTATAGACAAACAATACAATTTAAGCAATAATCAATTGTTAATATTTTTGAGACTAATTGGAGTACATATCACTTTTGATTCAGGGCTTTGCAAGACGCTTGCGGAAGATTAGCAAGGAACGTGATGAGATGTTAGAAACGATTATTAGAGAGCATGAAAAGGCAACAGCAGAAGGGCAGAATAGAAGACGCAAGGACTTCGTGGACATACTACTCTCTTGCATGGATACTTACGATGATCAGCACAACTTTGTCATAGATCGAACCAACATCAAAGCGATCCTTCTAGATACGATCGTTGGTGCAGTGGAGACTTCAGCTACTGTCATTCTGTGGGCTTTCTCGGAACTCTTAAGGAATCCAAGGGTGATGAAAAAACTCCAGTTCGAACTAGAAAACCAAGTAGGAATAAGCAAAATGGTCGAGGAAGCCGATTTGCCAAGGTTGAGTTACTTGGATATGGTGCTTAAAGAGACTATGAGGCTATACCCAGTTGCACCCTTACTAGTCCCTCGTGTGTGTAGGGAAGACATCACGATCAATGGCTATGACATAAGGAAGAACTCACGAATCATAGTGAACTCGTGGACCATAGGAAGAGATCCTAAGATATGGTCTGATAATGTGGAAGCATTTTGTCCAGAGAGGTTCTTGGACGGCAATATCGACTATCGAGGATATGAGTTCCAATTCTTACCATTTGGTTCAGGTCGAAGAGGCTGCCCTGGTGTGCAATTGGGTTTAATTACTGTTAAGCTTATTTTAGCACAATTGGTTCACTGCTTTAATTGGGAACTTCCAGAAGACAAGTCTCCTCATGACTTGGATATGTCTGAGACATTTGGTCTCTCAATGCCAAGAGCCAAGCACTTGTTAGCTCTTCCATCTTATCGCGTACCAGCTAATTGATGAATGTTATTAATCTCAGTCTTTTCAGTTCAGTAGAAGTATCAGTTTGATTGGTTAGTTATGCTGAAATTGTATGAAAGTTATGTAGTGGACTTATTTTATAATGTCAGGTTTCGTTCCATTTTTCCAAATAAGTTTTCTAAATTGATCACCATTTTTTAACGGAGACTTGATGAAAGTTTTAACCTCACCAGTCTCCCAACCCTTAACGTTTTCTTTGGTCAAGTGGAAAATTTTTTAAATAAATGAAAAGAGGAATCGGGGTTTTCTTTTTTTTGGGGGGGGGGGTGAAATTACATTTATTTTAGTTATAGTATTAGGTAGGATAGAAATCAATTAAAAACAAAAAACAAATAGAGCTGGAATGTCCTGAATATTCTTGCTTAGAAAATAACATATTAAACAAAAAGTTGGGAAGAGTAATAATAGACAATTTCGACACTTCCCGTTCATTTCTACAGAGAACAGTATTTTTCATAGGTCTTACGATAGAAAAAGATTGTTGTAGGATACACTTTCCATTCTACCAAACTATTCGTTAGTCATACTCCAACTTGCTTTTCCTTTGCTTTTTTAATTTTCCCTTTCAAATCAGAGGGCTTATTTGCATTTGCTTATTTTAAATACTTTAAGTATTTTTATGTAATTTGAGATAAAGCTCACTTTACATACTTATATCGTAATAATAAAATCATGATTAAAAATTTACTTATAAATCATTTCGAGCATAATAAAAAGGTACTGGGATGGGCTCTTTATGTTACATATAGACAGAAAACAAAATATCAAAGCTGACATTCTCAGTAACTCAGTCCTTATAGTTGGCAAGTATCTTTAACTCATCCCCTAGGTAGGGGAGGAGGGGAGGGTGTCGGAGGCTGAAACTTGCAAGGAGGGAGGAGAGAAGTAGCTTGGACCAGCGAGCAGCAGTATCATCGCGATGTCGAAGCGAGAGCAAGAACGAAGGAAGAAGATCAGGGGCCACATGGGAATTTTCTGTGTAGGAAAATCAGATCCCAATTCCCACCTATATGTGAGGGAACAGATTTTCCATTAAACGTGGAAAAATTTCCTGCCGCCAGAATTTGCTCTACCGGAAAGTGGTGCAACCAAAGGGATATTGTGAAGGAAAATTATCCCATTCTCCGTTTCCATCAGTATATTTTCAGGCTACCAAACAGGCTCTAAGGACTATAGGATTAATTTTCCGGTACATAAAAGAGCAATGGGGCCTAAGTTTTAAAACACTAGCTAGGGCCAAGGGGCTTGTTTAAATTCGCTTTCCTAATTTTAAAAGTCCTTACCAGTCATTTTAAAAGCATGAAAGTCAATTTGAGCTCAAAAATTGTATGCGGAATGGCATTTGAGTTAAACGAGTTTTTTCCCCTTCAAAAAGTCAAAGTAGACCTAAAGTCATATTTTGGAACTTTCAGCTTCATCAAGCCAAACAGATATTCAAATTGAGACTTGTTTTTAATATAAAAAGTATGATTATATTAATTGACTTTTATCACAATTTTAATTTACAAAATCCAGTTGGGATGATAAAAACCGATGTTGATAAAAACAACCCTTAATTATAATTCAGTTTCAAAATATTTTGAAAATTTCCGTAATCCTGAAGTCTATATTTCATTTGTTGACAACTAGGCATGACAAAATAATGAATGCTCATCATATGAAAATTTACAAGTTCAAATTTACATTCTAACATATTCATGGTAACAATTATATATTTTTTTCAAAAAAAATCAAGAAACATTAAGAATCAAGAAATATCTTAATTGGACGTAGATGTTTGTTGTGTTTCGATCACAATTATGCGTCATTCTACTTAATTTTAATTTGCGTCCATTTTGAATGTCAGAAAAACCAATTTCCATCCATTTTAAAATAACCAACATTAACTTTATCCACACAAAAAATGTCCAACATTAATTCATCCTCCTATCTATGATGCAAAATAATCTAAACTTAACTTCTACATAAATAAATTATATTACATTTTTTAAAATAAGATATTTCAACGTTAAAATTGTCAATAACCTAATTGAATATCAAAAAATACTCAAGTCAAAAACTTTAATAAAACAACTTCAAATAAACGGAGTCATTCGCGCGCGCGCAATCCAATCCTCGTTATCTAGGATAACAATGTATAACAAATTAAATGAGCGTTTTTTTTTTTTTTGACAATAATGAGCATTTTATTTTGAATATATATAATTGTTATCATGAATATATAAAAAAAAAATTACAATGAAATTTGGGCATTTTATAATGTAAATTTGGACTTAAATTTTTATTTGATACTTGTTATTTTTGTTATGCTCCTCCGATTCTTAATATAAGACCCAATTGTTGAGTTGATTTTGATTCTAAATATAAGACCCGGTTCTTATATTTATCAATTTTTTCTAAATTACCCCTATGGATACTTTCTCAACCATAATCAAATAGAAGAAGGAGATGGGGTATTAAGAAAGATGATTATGGTGTTTTAGGAAAAACGTGTCACATTTCTTATAATTAACTAACTTACATAACTTTCTTAATCTAATCAAATTAGTTAAATGAGTCTTATATTAAGAACCGGAAGAGTACTTAGTTATGAAAATATGTATAACTGACCTAGGAACACTCGTTATTTCCCTATCAGAATCTATTAGCATGTAACTTGAATTTGCGTATGTTTTTGGTTGTCAAAATGTATATGTGCTTGTAAACGGATTTTAAATTTTCTTTAGGACTTGCTTTTTATTTCAACAGTCAGACTTATTTTTATCAACTTTTCTCCCAACTTAATCCCCCCCCCTCATTTTAAGCAAAAACTATGAGTTCAAAGCTTAAAATTTCTTAATTCTCATTGCACTGGAATTTAAATGAAAATATGAAATTCTCCCATTTTTTAAATTCAATAGATGGTCAAAATTGCCGCTAATATTCTAATCCAGCTTGAATCGCACGTGGACGCCCTTATTTTGTGTTCTTTCGGTAGAACACACCTTCAAATTTTCGGGCGGTGCTGTGTCCCTTAGATTTTTGTTATTAGATTTTATATAAAATAAGTAAAATTTTAATATCGCAAAAAATTATTCAGTTTTCAATTTTTTACGGTTTTTTAAAAATTTAGTATTCTCAAATATTTAAAAAATCATAAAAAATTAAAACTGAATTTTGTTTATAAGATATTAAAATTTAACTTATTTTACATAGAGCTTAATAATAAAAAAAATGAAAAAAAATTTAGGAAGCACCCAAAAGTAAGCGGCGGAGTGGGTACATGACACCCGAGATCCCAAATTTTCACATCTTCATCCACAACCTAAGGGTGTGTTTGGTATGAGGAATTTGGGAGAGAGGAAAGGAAAGGGGAGGGATTTTAATCATTTCCTCTTGTTTGGCAGTACACAAATTTTAGGAGGGGAGGAGAAATTTTTCTCCCCTCCAAAATTAGGAGGATTTGAAAAGAAAGAGTAATATTTTGTCATGTTGTGACCATTATACCCATATTTTGTCATTTTGTGACTATTATGTCCATATTTTGTCATGTTGTGACCATTATACCCATATTTTGTCATTTTGTGACTATTATGTCCATATTTTGTCATGTTGTGATCATTATGCCTATATCTTAAATAAAATAAGAGCAAAATTGTTTATATTAAAATATTTTTTCCTCCCCTACCCTTTTGTTTTTTATAAATCCAAACAAGATAATATTAAAATCCTTCCACTCTCCTCCCTTCCCTTTTCCTCCATTAAAATCCCTCCTCTCTCTTTCCTCTCATTGAGCCAAACATACTCTAAGGATGTATTTGATTGGAAGGAAGGGTGGAGGGGAGGGAAAATGACCCCCTCCCCTTATTTGGATGAAAATTTGGAAGGAAAGAAGAGTCAAAATTTTTCCTCCCCTCCCCTCATTTACCCTCATTTGGGTCCCCTTAAATTAGGGTTTTTTTTTTAGGAAAGTAAAAAATTTTCTGACTATTTTATCCTTATATATTTGTGATATTCCCAGCTTGGTTGGCGGTGTACTCCTTCCTTTCTTCTTCTTTCTTGTCTTCCTGAGCGCCACCGCCAACGAAAATGATAAGTAGGTTGGGAGTCTCTTTTTTGGCTTGGCATTAGTCAGCAGCGGCAAGCTGATTATGGAGTTGGACGAGAAGGTGCTAGGAGATAGAGAAGGGGATAGTGGTGGCGGTGGAAGAAGGGGAGGAAAGAGATGAAGAAGAGTTGAAGGTGATGGTTTTGGGGAGGAGAGAGTGGAAGAGGAATAGCAGCCATTCATATTGTCTTCTTCCAGTTCTAATATTTCTATGTATCTTTGCGGTTTGATTTTTTTTTCAAACGTATTAGTTTATTAATTAGATTGTATATTAAAGCTAGAACAGAATGGGCAGAAGAGAAAAGATTTCGTTTTTTGTAAAAAATAAAAAATAAAATGTGTTAATTTAATTACTTCAAATATATTACTATATTAATTTACATAAAAAAGATTATATCATTTTTTTATACACATATAACATGATTTAGCTGAAATTTTCAATCAGTTATGTAATTTAAATTAAAATGTGAATTGATTTATATAATATATAAATAAAAATATAAACTCAGGATGAAATAATAAATTGCTTATTGCTCCCTCAATTCCTTCTCTTAGCTAAATAAAAAATCATTAAATATCTTTCTCTTTCCCTCCTCTCAATCAAACTAAACAAAATAACATTAAAGTCTCCTCTGTCCTCTCTCGCCCTACCTTCCTTTCCTTCTCCTAGCCTCTCTTCAAACCAAATACGCCATGAGTCCATGACTGAGCAAAGGACCCTCTAGTAATATATACAAACCACTGAAGCTAGCCTCCTTCATTTTTCTTCATTTACTCTCAGACAAAAAATCAAACATGTTGCCTTCTTCCTCTTTGCCCTTCCCTTCCCTTCTCCTTCTTCCACTTCTCTTCCTTCTCTCAGCTCTGTTCCTATCCCTGTGCCTTAGACGAACTAAGCATAGCCTGAAACAACCCCCAGGGCCACCGGCCTGGCCGGTGATCGGCAACCTCCACCAGTTGGGTACTCTCCCGCACCGATCCCTTCAGTCTCTCGCGAAGCGCTATGGACCCATCATGTCCTTGCGACTCGGACAGGTCCCTGCTGTTGTCGTCTCTTCCCCTGAAGCCGCCGAGCTTTTCCTCAGGACGCACGACGTCGTTTTTGCCAGCCGCCCAAGGACTCAAGCGTCGGAGTTCCTTTCTTATGGCTCCAAGGGGATGGTTTTCTCTGAATATGGCCCTTACTGGCGCGATATGAGGAAGCTCTGTACTCTGCAGCTTGTTAGCTCATCGAAATTGGAGACGTTTGCTCCCTTAAGAAGGGAGGAGTTGAGACAGCTGGTGAAGTCGATTGAGAAATCGGCGGCGGCGAGTGAGGTGGTGGATCTGACGGAGAAGGTGGAGCGGCTTGTAGAAGACATAATGTATAAAATGATATTTGGACGCAACAGGGACGATAGATTTGATCTGAAGGATCTTATTCATGAAGCGCTGAACTTGGTTGGAGCCTTCAATATTGCAGATTTCGTTCCTTTCTTGGCGCCATTTGATATCCAGGTACCATTATCAACTCAACTGCATATTTACTGTTCTTTTTCCTTCTAGTGTATTCAATGTTTCAACCAGCAAACCAAATCTGTCCGTTGTCTAGCTGCATCTCAGATTTTGATCCAAGAGCGGTTCAAGGTGAAGTGTTGAACACAAAAGGGTGAATGGGTATGGGAATTTAAAAGAATTGGTGTCTTTTCAAAATAATTCATTCACGGATGGATAGAGTTATGGCCGCGCATGGCCTGACCTTATAGCTCATAATATACCTCTCTCTTATGTTTTTCGTAATATTGTAACCTCCCAAATATTTTTTACTATTAAATTTTATATAAAATAAGTAATACTTTAATGCGATTTTAAAATTTTAAAAAAAATTAAACTACATCATTTTATTATTATTATTATTATAAGATATTAAATTATTACGCATTTTATGTGAAATTTAATATAAAAATAAAAATATAATATTATAATAGACTTTTAAGTTTTTTTTCAAAGTGGTGGGGCCATTAATCTCTTCCTGACTCCAGGCGGAATGACACATCCCTGTATATCATTAAAATTTATTCGGCGATAGAGTTTAATTAATGAGCGGTGTCCAAAGCGCCTGCGTTTTGATTTTATACGCTCCACTTACGGGTGAGCAATTGGTGCGTTGGGCTAGCCCAAAGGTTAACCCGTAGCCCGTCTATTTATGAATAAACAGGCATGGACTAGCCCATAATTCGGTAGCAACCCATTTTAGCTCGTAGCAAATGGGCTACAGGGCAGCCTGTTTGGGCTAACTAGGTTAAGGGTAATCCATTTATTTTTTTGTTTTTTTTTTTGACAATTTTTTCAGCATGACTACTTTTTTATATGTCATCTTATGAAGTTATTAGTAAATTTTGTATACCAAACAGCAAATCAAATATGAAATAACATCACATAATACTAACCATATTCAATCACATAACTTCAGTTAGAGTCACAAAGACACAAACAATCAAAGTCTGATAAAATCATAAAAGTAGCCACCAATCATAAAAAGTCTCACAAACTTTGAAAGTTACAAACTTTGAATAAGAAACAATATCATAAATCATCAATTGATCATCCAGCTAGATCTTGAGTATCATCATGTTTTGTTTCAGAATCACTTGAAATTGTTGAATGTGTGGTTGCTGCCTCTTGCTCTGTAAGAACAAAACAAACAAAAATAAGTTAATGTCATTAATATTAGACTATTAGTATAAAAAACATAATGCAATGCTACAAACTCAATGATACAGAAATTAGTCAATTACCAACAACAATACTTGTACTCTCATCAAAATTATCAACATCCAAATCATTTGCCTTAGGATGATTTGTACATAGCCAATTCTGAGCACATACAAGTGCCTCAGCCATCTTTGAAGATAAAAAACTTCTAAAAGTATCAAGCACTCGACCCCCAGTACTGAAGGCAGATTCTGAAGAGACTGTAGAAACTGGTACAGCCAACAAATCATGTGCAATGAGATGAAGAACTTTATATTTGGAAGCATTTACTCTCCACCATGCCAAAAGATCAAATTTAGGATTAACAAGGCCACATAATCCAGCTTGAAGATATTCATCAATCTCAGAAACTTGCTCAGGTTTCTTACATGCAGTGCTTGCAGTGACTAAAAACTCTTGGTAGGTAGGGTCATCTTCAATAGCCTCTTCAACATTAGGAACTAACTCATTGACCACATCACCACTAGCAACAGAATCCACTTGCTGCAATGATTGCTGGGATGTTGATGCATCATCATCAGAAGGTTTGACATTAACTGCATAATCATCATATAGGCGATGCAAGACACTCATGACATGCTTCAATGTGACCTCACGCTTTATGGGATCATTGGAAAAAGCTCTATCAAAAACAACATTAACATATGTCAATTTGTATCTAGGGTCGAGGATTACCCCTATAATCAGCAATGGATTCATTTTCTCTATATCTCCCCAATACTTGTTGTACTTTAATTGCATCCTGATGGCCATATCAGTCAACAATGAATATTCACTAGTTACACTTTTATGGAGACTTGACTGGATTGCAACTATATGTAACAAGCATGTATTTGTGGTCACATAGTTAGATCCAGAGAATTTTAAGGTCATTGAGTAGAACAACTTCAAGAAGACGAGAAACTCCTTTGCAACACCCCAATCATATGCACTAGGAGGATGAGTTGTGGCTTCACCATCATAGATTGTATCATCTTGGCTTGAATCAAGTCTAACCTTTTTTTTAAAATACTCCTTGTAATCTGCATCTTCTTCTTCCATTCGATCAAAGACTTTAACAAATTTTATAGCACTGTCAAGCATGAGATATGTCGAATTCCACCTAATAACATAAACAAAATTTTATTAACGAAACAAAATTATATCATAAAGTGTAATGAAAACAAATATAATTAAAGAATTATCTAAATTACCTAGTGGGGCAATCCAAGCATAGTAGACTTTTGGAGTCAATTCTCTCTTTAACAATAAGCTCCTTGAATTTATTCAACCTTGATGGAGAAGATCTAACAAACTTAATTGCATGCCGGATGAGCTCAATTGACTTATTCATATCTTTTAATCCTTCAGAAACAATCAGGTTCAAAATATGTGCTGCACATCACATATGCATAAATTCACCATCAAGTATGAGACCATTCCAACCCCTTAAACGCTTTCTCAAATAAGCAAGTGCTGTATCATTGGAAGAAGCATTGTCAACAGTGACAGTTAGAACTTTATCAATGCCCCAATTCAATAAGCATGTCTCAAGTTTTGCACCAATTGGATCTCCCTTATGGTTTTCAATCACACAAAAATTCAAAATCTGTTTCTGTAAATTCCAATCATCATCAATCCAATGGGCAATCAAACACATGTAGTTGGTATTTTGGATTGAAGTCCAACAATCTGTGGTGAGGGACACACGGACTTTAGATCGCTTAAAATATTTTTTCAACTTTCTAGCTTCTTCAAGATACACCTGGTAGCAATCCCTGGCAACAATCCATCGTGAGGGGATTTTGAATCTTGGTTCAAATCGATGTATCATGTCTTTGAAACCCTGTCCCTCAACAGTTTGAAAAGGCATCTCATCCTTTATGACAAAATGTGCAATAGCCTTTCTACATTCCTCTTCATCATATACTTGATGAGTCAATGATTTACTAGAATTAACTGAGAAGATTGACTGTTGCTTGCTTGCTTTATTTGGATTTTTTGGACACTTTTCATAATGCCGCAACAATTGCTTTGTCCCACAATTAGTTGGATGGCTTGCATAATCCGTCCCACAATAGTTGCAACGTGCACGATGTTTACCTTTTGTTTCACTTAGTGGCAACCTTGTGAAATGTTTCCATGCTTCAGATGTTTGTCTCCTTTTTTTCCTAGGTAATGGAAGTCCTCCTCCTCCTCCAACATTAGTTGTTGACATTGTTGCATTCCGTTGTCCTTGTCCAGTAGCAACAGGAGATGTGATAGTGGTAGTGGTTTTAACATCATTAGTGTCCCCTCATTCATTTGCACATCATCCATGCTATTTACTTTAAGTTGCTCATTTCTTCCATATTCCAAATCAATCACAATGACAATGAGAAATAACCAAGAAAACTATAATCACGTTTATGTAAGAAAACAAAGATAAAGCTAGTTTTTCAAACATATTAGCGCATCATACCAAGCAATTGAGCAAACAGGGAACTATAGTTATGTATAAGTAAGTCATAAATAGAATAATAGATCCTAACATTCAAACATATTAACGCTGCATCTACTAAGAGTTGAAATTGTCCAATGTGTTTGCGATCATCTGTGATGCGTATCATTATGTTGTACAATAAACAAAATCAAGGGGAAAAAGAGGGGAAAATTAGATTGAATTTTACAAAGGAGATAAGTTGCTGGTAAATGATGATAGAAGCTTCTCTTAGAAAAAAATCCTCGCCCTTCTGCTGATCATGAAGGCAAATTAGCATTTTGCTCGTCTTTGTTCTGTTTTAAGCTGATGTTTTATTCTAATTATTTTAATTTGTCTCGTTAAACTTTTCTCTTGTTAGATAACTCCCTCAAAATTTTAATTTGCCATGTAGCATTGTGATTAGGCTAATAGACATATGTTTTAAACAAAAGCATCTTTATATGGATGACTAATCAACATTCAGCGAAATAGTGACTAGCGAGCTACCAGAAGTCCAAAATGGAGGAACAGCCGAACAGAGAGCAACGAAATGGAGGAACACTGGAACAGAGAGAAGTCAAAAACAAAAATTTACCGAACAGTGAGCTACTAGGCACCAGCGATAGTGACCTTTGCTTCAATCTTCAACAGATCGAGGGACGCCGCTACCAGTCCACCACGAGAAGCTGCCGAGAAGTTGAAGTCGAACTCGAAGATGGCAAGACGCAGTACAAACAATCACTGGAGCTCTAATGTCGAAGATGAAGATGCAGCAACCCAGCATCACAAGCTCGCAGATGATTACTAATTCACTGGAGCTCTAATGTCGCAGATGAAGATGCAAAGTCACGGCCTCACTCCCTCACAGACGAATCAATTACAGTTCACAAACCGTTGGAGCTAGAAGCAAACTGGGCAGCTGGCTTGAAGTCGAATCGCAGAGACGCTCAAACGCAAGCACAGATCGAAGGTGGCGGAGACGTAGAGTGACACTGAGAGAGTTGTTCAATGTTCACTGTTCAGTACTTCAGTTGAAAGAGTGGAAGTGCCAAACTGGAAACTGGAATGGAAAGAAGCAAATAATGAAAGCTTGAATGAAAGGCAGCTACTGAAGCTAGGTCTAAACTCTAAAGAATAAAAAATATTTTTTAAAGAAAATAAAACTTAAATGGGTGGGTATGGGCAGCCCAAAGCCTTGCCCATAGCCCGTCCCGTTTAATGGGCTGTCCCGCCCATTTAAGTCAGCCCGTTTATTATCTTCTATTTGGGCTAATTGGGCGGGCTTTAATGGGCAAAAAATTATTGGGTTATGGGCAGGCTAGTGGGTTATGGGCTATTTGCTCACCCCTAGCTCCACTCCAATCTGCCCCTCTTCAATGGACCCCTACAAAATCTATTCTTCTTTCTCATATAAGTCATCACCTTATTGGCATATTCTAATTGGATTTCGTTCCATTTTTAATGTGTTTTTTTATTACTTTGAGATTTTTATAAGATTTATTTAATTAATTGAATTACATTGAAGAAGAAGTTAGTTAATTTAATTAGTCTGAGATGTTTTACAAATTTAAAAATAGGTTGTATGTTAAAAAATAGAATAAGTTGATCTTGACCCCAAAAAAAAAAGGTATTAGTAACTATTGGACACACCAATTCAAATTAGATTATACTAGCTCTGATTCTTAATATAAGACTTCATTTTGACTTTTATTTTGGTCCTAAATATAAAACCCCAATCCACTTTGTCTTTCATATTTATGTTTTTTTTTCCAAGGTAATCCTTCTAACAATGGTAGTTCTAGCAAATACACTTGATTAGCAAGGATATTTTAAGGAAAACAACATATATTTATTACAAATAACTAACTTAACTTCTTTTTTTAATCTCCCCAAATTAATCAACTAGGTCTTATAATTAGGACCGGAGATAGTAGCTAGAAAGTTAGAGGTTCAAGTTGAAGGGTATTGAAAGACGACGCGCAGCAGAAAAACTAAAAATTTTAAAACTTTCAATCCCTTGCCCGGATCTACCGTTCGCGTTTAAGTCAGGTAGTAAGAAGTATTACCTTCGGTGTTCAGTTTCCGAGTGGCTTGGTGATTCCACCGTTCAGGATGCCTCTACTCGCCTCCTTTATCGTTCGAAGTCGACAACTCCGGTCGGCTTCCTCTACCGGTATCCACACGAATAGCTCTCCGGTTATAGACGGCTTGCTAGCGCCCTTTTGTCCGTCTAGGGTTTTCAGAGAATCCATCCACTCTTATCTCTCTTAGGCCGTCTCTTATCTGTTGGTACTCTCTCACTTAAAACCCTAGCTCCTCATATCAAATATATAGGATGCTATAGGTTTAATGAATAATATTTAATTTCGAAATTAACTCTAAATTAATTCCGAAATTAATACAATATCAAATATTGCCTAATCAGATAAGAGAACAATTAAATAAATATGGTTTAAATTAAATCCGTCTCACAGATTCAATTCACCTATTTATTCAATAAAGAGATGACGGAATTAATTTATATATATTTAATTTATCCTTATAAATTAAATCTAACAATTAATATCTCTTATATTTATATAATATATATACGAATATATATATATACATGTCCACCCTATATTATTCATTGAATCTGGATATATCTTAGATTCAATGAATCTGGACACCATAACTCGCGTTGGGCTATTTTGTGTGCGACCCTGTAGGCCCATATGAAGTTGGCAGTGGGCCATTAACTATAATGACTCACAAGTCGTAAGCGGTCTCTAGCAAGACATCACGACTACCCAAATCATATGAGGATCGTTGAACGATGTAACCTTTCATACAATCATATTACGTCCCTTTTGTCACACGACATTTTGGTCATGGATGAGGCATGGAGAACGTCATCCTCCTATTCATGACCGTTACTTTCTCGATCCCTGAGTAGTCTGAGTATAGAAACGAAACTACTTTTCCATTATAGTATGGCCATACATTTCTCAGACTCACTCATCGAGGGGCCTAGTAATGTCTCCCTACGAATGTGAGGGACAAATTCTATCTTGACCATTCACATTCCTCCGCATGAAAAACCACTAAGCCTGAACATAGTCTTTATGATCACTCGGTCAAAAGTGACTTTTGACTAGGTCAAAGCTAAGCGTTTCTCATGTAGGAATCCATGATGATCTCAGGTCAAAGGGCACAGTGACATGGTTTGTATATGAGAGAAGCTTATGACTTAACCCATGCAGCTCTCTCATAGCGGGTCGGTCCAACACCTTGTACTCTTACATGTGCCTATGACTTTCATTTATATCTCTATATATCTTTAAAGTCATACTGGTCTTATTTCATCTTTGCTCCCACATAGATGACCGACCAGGGACATTTAGGATAAACCATGAGTTATCCAAGGATAGTCATCACAGTAAACATGCAAATAATATGATAACGTAATTAATAAATTCATAAATTAACAATGTTCAAAACATAATGATTGACCCCTAGGGCACAATTTCCAACACAAGTTTCTAAAAAGTAAGAGAAAATGGATGAAATTATGCGCAAGCAATATAGTGCCTGTTTGGGATCATGGTGAAAATTTCCTATAAACACGTTTCACGTAAGTTGAGATAAAACTCTTCTCACATACATATTTGTCTCGTATTCTGTAATTCACTATTAAAAAACTACTTATAAACTGTTCTAAACAGGTCTATAATTGATTAAGCAGCATGGAATAATTAACTTTTGGAAAGATTTAGTAAGCCAACGCCAGCTCACCATTACAAAATCAAATTGAAACCATGGCACGTGGTTAGTTTTAATGGTTGGGGGCAATTTGTTTTTGCTGTTATAGAAAGATTTTAGCTCTGGTTGAGTTGTAAGTCTGCATCCCACATGCTGATGATGGGCACGTATCCTTTTGGTGTCGTGGAGCCAGAAATCTCTTTCCGCATCCACAAAATAGAGGGAATCACATGTCCTTCAATTCTATACCATTAAATTTCTGTCGGCATTGCATTATAAGAAGTCCCATCGAGGGCTCAAGTTTCGTTAAACAAAAAAAGGTTGAAATTATACCCAACAGATTTAAGTTTCGTTAAAGTATATTTCTTTTGATTTAGGGCTTTACAAGACGTTTGGTGAAGACGAGCAAGGAAGTTGATGAGATATTAGAGACCATTGTTAGAGAGCATGAAGAGGCAGCACCAGAAGAACAGAATAGACGACACAAGGACTTTGTGGACATACTACTCTCTTGCATGGATACCAATTACGATGATCACCACAACTTTGTCATAGATCGAACCAACATCAAAGCCATGCTTCTGGATATGACTGCTGCTGCATTAGACACTTCTTCTGCTGTCATTCTGTGGGCTTTTCCAGAACTCTTAAGGAATCCAAGAGTGATGAAAAAACTCCAACTTGAACTAGAAAATCAAGTAGGAAAAAGCAAAATGGTCGAGGAAGCCGATTTGCCAAGGTTGAGTTACTTAGATATGGTGGTTAAAGAGACTATGAGACTATACCCAGTTGGACCCTTACTAGTCCCTCGTGTGTGCGGGGAAGATATCATAATCAATGGCTATTACATAAGGAAGAATTCTCGAATCATAGTGAATTCATGGAGCATAGGAAGAGATCCTAAGGTATGGTCTGATAATGTGGAAGAATTCTGTCCAGAGAGGTTCTTGGAGGGCAATATGGACTATCGAGGACATGAGTTCCAATTCTTACCATTTGGTTCTGGTCGAAGAGGCTGCCCTGGTTTGCAATTGGGTTTAATTACTGTTAAGCTTATTTTAGCACAGTTAGTGCACTGCTTCAACTGGAAACTTCCGGAGGACAAGTCTCCAGATGAGTTGGATATGACTGAGACATTTGGTTTGTCAATGCCAAGAGCTAATCACTTGCTAGTTCTCCCATCTTATCGCCTACCAATTAATTGACGAATCTTAGTTTGAGGCGTTTTGCAGCCCAATAATGGCTCCACCCCTTATATCATAATCAATGCAAGGCATGTTATTGTAGCGGTTTTGGTTAGCCATATGTCAGTGTAATCTTTAACGGAATGGTTAAAAATTAATTATGTGATAAATTTATTTTATAATGTCAATTGTGCTCCCATATTTTCAATTAAGCTTTATATATTGGTTATCTTTTCTTCCCCCCTTTGAGAGGTAGCGCTTCATCTATTTTGTGACATTTGAATAAAATATTAGAACTCGTTCAGAAAAAAATAAAATAAAATAAAATATTTGAATAGGCACAATATGGGCGAGCTATTTTTTTTTTTTGGGTATACAACAGGGCAAAAGCCCAAAAAGTAAACTAAATACTCAGGGGATTAAATCCCAGCAAATCGTTTCGTAAATACTCCTCAAATGAGTAGGACATGTGCTGAACAAAGACGACCTTGAGAGCCCATCTTTTGCCAGCGAGTCAGCGAGCATATGGGCGAGCTATTATTTGGGCTATTGCCTCGTTTGTGTACCCAAACAGATAACAAACCAAAAAAAAAGGAACTAAAGAGAAATGTTGGCGAAGCCTAGTCCCCAAAAAAATGGCAAGGTGTCAAGGTCCAAATATGTTTTGAGTTAGCCAACGAAAATTAAGTTTAGCAGAAAAAATAATTCTCAAAAACATAACAAATCAAGATTTGCATTTCCACTAAGAAAAGTACTCATATTTAGTACTCCTTTCGGTCCTAAATATAACACCAATGTTGTAGTGTAAATATAACACGTATTTTGCAGTAATTACACTACAAAATTAGTGTTATATTTAGGATAGGAAGAGTAGTTGACAGTGACTCTAATAAGATTATTTTTAATAGCTTGAACATTGAGTGATCTTATTCTGCAAGAGAGAGGTGTTTGGGGGCAGTCCTTGCTATATTCACTGAAAAGGAAAACGACTCTGAAGGAGATTTGGGCATCTGTCTTTGATCCTCACGGTGCATTATAGCAATCCGTATGTGTTCGGTCTTGTCGACCTGGGGTTAGGTGAAGGTTCCAGGATCATCCAGATTTAGTACTGTTTCTTTCTTTTCTTAGTGAAATGGTACGCGATTAAGGTGAAAAACGAGGAGGAGGAAAATAGTGCTCTATTTATCTAGTGGCTGATAGAAGAGAAGGATTATTAGAGAAGGATTATTCAGTTCAGTATTCATTCACCGCCACATGTTATTTGCACCACAGAGAAACCATTGACCGAAAACAGAGAAACCAACGTCACCTTCACGCGTTTTTCTTTCTGGGTATAGAAAGTCACACCACGTTTCAAACATTTTAATTTGTTACAAGTTTTTATTTGAGATTTATATGTAATTTTCCTTTAATTTCGTATTCCTAACAGAACAACAGCTCATTAATTTTGCGTGGGAAGCTTTCTCATGACACTTTTAATATATAATTTCGTCCGAATATCTTACATAGCCTCAATTTTTTTTAAATTTTAATTTTACTATTAGGTGAATGGGCAAATTTACCCATTATAATATTAAAAAAAATACCAGACACTATAATAAAATATAGGAGACAAAAATGCCCATGAACAGTAGGATGCAAAGATCGGATGACATCGCTGATGAAGCCGCCAGGAAGAAAAAATAGGCTTTGGTGGGGACCATTTTTGGAAGAAAATGGGCATTCCGTTTGAGCATTGGGAAGCCATTAGAACCAGAAGTTGTTGCTGCTATTCGATTGTGACTTAATGAGTTGGTGTATTGTGATTGGAGGGGGGCATGGATGGGGTGATATTAGATGACACCGAGACAGTAATATGGGACCCACCAAATGTAAAGGTGACAAACGTTTTGGAAATACTCCTTATGTCCTTAATATAAGACCCATTTAACTAATTTAATTAGATTAAGGAAGTTAGGTAAGTTAGTTAATTGTAATAAATATGACACGTTTTTTCTAAAACACCATAATCATCTTTCTTAATACCCCCTCTCCCTCTTCTATTTGATTATGGTTGAGGGAGTATCCATAGGGGTAATTTAGAGATTATTGATAAATATGAGAAATGAGTTTTATATTTAAGACCAAAACCAACTCAATAGAGTAACATTTTTGTCCCGTTTTTAAAGAGTTCACGCACATTTTTACTCTCGGTATTTTATCACGATGTTTGATGCCTCTTTTTAATATTATGATGGATAAATTTCTTCTTCACCTTTTAATATTTTAAGATTCAAATCTCTTTTTTTCCCCAACATGTTATTCAAATAAGTTTCTATTAAATTGATTTTTTTTATAAAAACCTATTTAAAAATAAATCATATTATCCTGATTGATTTTTATTTTTATTTTAATTTATAAAATAAGTCGAGATAAAAGTTACTTTTGTAGGTATTAAACAAAATGTTAATTTTGTAAATGTCTAAACAAGTCCTCGTCTAAGTTATCAAAAAATATTATAAGAGATTAAACATGAAATAATTATTATTTGAGCTGATTTTAAAAAAATAAATTATTTTCAAATCTCATGTTTTGGAATCTGCGGAGAAATAGGAACGACAAGATCTTTAGCAAAAAGACAAAGGATCCGAGTGAACTGATAATTAGGGGTGTTCAATTTGTCCCGTCCCGGTCGTCCCATCCCGGTTTCGGTGAGTTCGGGATGGGACGGGACGGGACAAAAAAATTTCGGGACTGGACAAGTACGGGATGGGACGGGACAGTGACCGGGACGGGACAGGACGCGGGACGGGGTTGTCCCGTCCCGTCCCGGGATTTTTTTAAAAAAAAAAATTATTTATTAATAATTATTATTAGATTATTCAATTTACTTATTAATAATAATAATTATTTTTATAATGATTTTTAACTCTTAAGTTGTAATATTATCTGAACAATATCTCCTTCCTCAATAAAATAATTCATAAAGCCATTATATAGTGTTTCTTTTATCGTATTTTTTTTTACAGTATTGTTTTTACACTTTTTTTATACTATATAATTGAGCTTTCTACATAATATTTTTTATAATGTTTTTATCTTTAAAAGCCTAACAAAAAATAAGCATTATAACATAAAAAAATTTCATATAAAAAATTATAGTATTCTTTTTTAAAAAAAAAGGAAGGGGAACGGGACACGGGACTAAAACCCTGTCCGGTCCCTGTTCACCGGGACGGGACCGGGACGGGCCTGTCCCGGTCCCGTGCCGTGAACACCCCTACTGATAATGAAATGTCAGACCCTGGCTGTTGAGTGTATATAGGAAAAAACCAAAGATACCCAGCGAAAAATTGAATGCGCTAGTAAGACTGTGAAATGGTGCAAAGCTAACAGAGATTGGGTGAAACTTAACTCTGATGATTCCTGTCTTGGGGACCCTAGATTTGCGGCCTGTGGGGGACTAATCAGAAACAGTGATGAAAAATGGATCAGTGGTTACTCTAAAAAGATTGGAATCTGCAGTGTGGATTGAAAAGGAAAGCTTGGGAGATTATTGAAAGGAGATGGGAGTTGAAGATCACAGCGATTCTGAAAAAGATGAATGGCTGTGCAGATAGTCTGGCAAAAATTGGACTTCGAATGGTTAGGGATTTTCAGATCTGGGACTTGCCGCTGTTACCTTTGAGGATGAGGTTGGAAATGGAGGCGTCTGAAGTCGGAACTGGAAGTGAATCTGAATGTGTTGGGGAAGGTTAGGTTTCGTAGGTTGATCTTTTGAGGGTACTTTTGGGCTTTGGGCCCTGTTTGTTTACCTTCAAAAAAAAAAAGTCACTTTGAAAAGAATTTAAAATGAAAATTTAAACAAACATGTCCTCAACAAACCCCCCCCCCCGCCCAAAAAGAAAAAGAAAAAGAAACGTTATAAATACAACCCCACCTCACGTGCTTCCTCATTCAATTCCTTCTCCTTCCTGACACAGACACTCATCTCAAGTCTAAACATGCTGCCTCCATCTCCATTGTTACCTTCCCCTCCATTTCTCTTTCTTGCCGTATTTCTCTTCTTCACTCTATCACTTTTGCTCCTACTCTCTCGCTTCAAAACAACCAGAGATGGCCGGGAACAACCGCCAGGTCCACTGGCCTGGCCGGTGATCGGCAACCTCCACCTGTTGGGCACCCTCCCCCACCGTTCCCTTCACTCTCTGGCCAGACGATATGGCCCCATCATGTCCCTCCGACTAGGACAGGTGCCTGCCGTTGTCGTCTCTTCGCCTGAAGCTGCCGAGCTTTTCCTCAAGACGCACGACGTCGTTTTTGCCAGCCGCCCAAGGACTCAAGCGTCGGAGTTCCTTTCTTATGGCTCCAAGGGAATCGCTTTCGCTGAATATGGCCCTTACTGGCGCGACATGAGGAAGCTCTGTACTTTGCAGCTTTTTAGTGCGTCGAGAGTGGAGATGTTTCGTCCCATAAGAAGGGAGGAGTTGAGAGAGGCGGTGAAGTCGATAAAGGAATCGGCGGCGGCGCGTGATGTGGTGGATGTAAGTGAGAAGGTGGGGGAGGTGATAGAGGACATCATATATAGAATCATACTGGGACGCAAGAGAGACGATAGGTTTGATTTAAAGAGAATAGTTCAAGAGACGCTCAGCTTGTCAGGAGCTTTCAATATCGCAGACTTCTTGCCTTTCTTGCGCCCATTTGATATTCAGGTATCTTTTCTTTTTTATCCCAGTTTTTAAAAAGAAAATTTGGTTAAAGTTTCTGTTTAGAAATTTAATTGGTTAAAAAAATTTATATTTAAGCAAGTGCAACTATAATTCATAAACGCCATTTTTTCCCAGCTGTGTGTAATAATTATCAACATGAAAGTCATTTTAGCAATACGAAAGATATATTGCACATAACAAAAAAAAGGTTGCACTCACAGATTATAACTGCACACTCTTAATTTCAGGTCCTTTTAGTTAATTAATTTTTTAAATAGAGATTTTTTTACCAAATTTTTCTTTTTAAAACTAATCATAATCTTTTGTGGCAAAAAAAAAACCAGTCTTAATATTAAAGAATCA